AAATTTTCCAGAGTTGAATAAATACGAACAACTGAAAAATTGTATCAGATAATGAACCCCTAGGGTTTAAATGTAGATTAGTAATTTGAACTGTATAAAAGTAACTTTAAAGGTAAAATTTGAGAATAATTTTCCATTCATTCTAAAGTATTTCTGTTAGCTTACCTAGTTGAAAAAATATTAGTAGTTTGGACCTTTAATAATTCATTAGTGGGATGCCTAATAGTATTAATATATATTAAAAACATTCTTAAACTAAGCAGATATTAATCTTGATAGTTTAGATAAATGCTTCATACATAATGTACTGTCAAACAATTTTGGAAAGTTATAACTCTGTGTGGGTGTATGTGCCTAGGCAGCATGAACTGAAAATACTTAGTGAAATAAAAATATGTGGATAATAAAACTTTCTCTTACCTTTATGTTTTGAATCAGTTTTTCATCTTCTGGTACACTGGGGTTAATTGCGATGACAATGCCATCATATCCATTGTTACTGAAACTTACCATTGAGCTCTTCACTCTAGGCAAGAGATGCAAGGCTAAGAACAGAATAACATTCACACTGAGCCCCATTTTTGCACGTTACATTAAACCTCTTGGAAATATAGGGAGGTTATTTATGCATCTGCTTGACTCAGGAATTTCAATCAAGACCAAAACATTTGCATACATATAATACAGTAAATTATTAAAATATCTTAGTGAACTTCCTTATCTTACTCATTCTAAAGATTGAGTTGTTAGGTAGCAATGGGGATTATGCTGAACACATTTGTCATACTTTCTAAGACAGGTGAGGCATTAAGTATTCACTGAACTGAGCCATTCTTTTATTGATAGATTGCGTAGTTGTCACCATAGTGGTGGGAGGTCTTTATTGTCATCATCATCACCATCAAATAGTATTAGAGTTCTAAGTCCTGGGATCTATTTAGAGAGAAACACTCTATGGAGGGAGGAGGAACTGAAATTAAAAGCACCAGGAAAGAGCAGATGAATGAAGCCTGTTTAAAAGAACAAAGAATAAAGGGGCTAGAGTAGGAGTGGTCGTGAAGTAAGGATGCATATTTCCTTCTTTAGAGGAAAATGATACAAGCAACAGTTACAGAATTTTTTTTTATTACCTTCTGCACTAACTACTTGTTTATTTTAGCTTTTAAATAGCATTGAATGCTTTCAGTGCTTGTGTAACTTGAAAACTTAATATGCTTCAATTAAGATTTCTTTTTTGGATTGAACACAAATGTTCCTTAGCTTGAAATAGTTGTATGCATAGCATTGTGAGTTGGCTCTGGACTCAGATGAATCTAAACCTTACTCTTGCCTTGTCGTTTAATAATCACATGATTCTTTGTAAGAGTTGTATGTCTCTTTTTAGGCCTAGTTTCTTTTCTGTGATATCAGTATAATTACAGGATGTTGGAAGAATTAAATGAGACAATCTATGGAAAGCACTTCATACAAAACTCTTTTTTTCTTTTAATGCCCTAAGTTGAATGGAACATACAAGACTTCTGACACCTAGTAAACACTCAAGAAATATTATCTGTTATTATTAAACATTATGTATTATATTATGGATACAAAGCTTGCTATAAATTTTTGCCAATTAAATTCCATGTTTTCATTGGCTTATTTTGTAAAACTTTTAAAGATAGTCTTCTGGTGTTTAACTGGGGAACAAGGAGTCCCTGAGCCTGCCTGGGAAAGACTAGAGGAGAAACTGTCTGAGTGAAACTATTAATGTAAGTTTTTGAAATGCTCTTTGATTAATCGCCATCATTTGACAATATCCTATCCTTGATGGTCCAGCTTAGGTGCAGCCGCACCCATAAAATCTTCCCAAATCATCCACACTAGAAGTAATCTTTCCTTGAACTTGTTTGAAGGATTATATTTATATACTACCTGTATTGCATTTGTACATAGTATATCTCCCTACTAGATCATAAACTCCTTTGAAGGAAGAGATTTTTTCCTGAGTTTAGATTCCCTCAACGTCAATTTCCTTAACTGCTAAATGAGGACAGTAATAACCATCTAGAAGAAATGTTGTAAAGGTTAAATGAAATAACATGTGTGAAAGCACTTGTTATAAGTGCAGGTACATACTGTATTCCTTGCTTTTCCTATTCCTTTTAATTCATATGAAAAAAATGTCAGTGCTTCTATGTGCCAGGCTAACTGTGCTGATCTTTAGAGAGTGCAGAAATGAGTAAAATACCAGCACTGCCTCCAAAGAACTTGAAAACTTGTTGCATGGGTTAGATTACAATAAAAAAGATTAAAATACCATCAAATTGATATTAACTGATCAACACTTAACTGCACATATAGTAATAACATTCATTGGGTGTCAGGCAGATGGGAGGGGGAAGGAGGAGATGGGTATATACAAACCTAATGGGTGTGGTGCACACTGTCTGGAGGATGGACATATTTGAAGCTCTGACTTGGGTG